AAGGAAGAATTTCTTTACTGTCTGAGCCCCCAAGGTCTGGAACAGCCTGCCACCGGAGGTGGTTCAAGCGCCTACATTGAACACCTTCAAGAGCAAACTGGATGCTCATCTTGCTGGGATCCTATGAACCCAGCTGACTTCCTGCCCTTTGGGCAGGGGGCTGGACTCAATGATCTTCCGAGGTCCCTTCCAGCCCTAATGTCTATGAAAGTCTATGAAATCTATGAAGGGTTCTTGGGTGGAGTCTTCTCAGGAGTCTTGGCTGCAGGTTTTTCTGGAGTCTTTTCTGCTTTCTTAAAGAAAGTGTCCAAGAAGTTTGGACAGATGCTCTCCAGGGAGATGGGAGATGCAGCAAACTTGTTCGCTGGTGTGGTGTCACGTTGGATCAAGTGTTGTAAAGTCAAAACTGACGTCAGAAAGTCGAAACAGGGTTTCAATTTATAAACCTTGTAACTGCGAAATGTTGTATTGTAACTTGAAACATTGTAAGTCAAGGACTTCCTGTACTTACTGCTTTGTCATTATATAAAGGATTGTCAAAAAGAAGCGATTAAAGGTTAGGCTCCAAAACAAGAGTACTAATTTGTAAATGTACTACATATGAAGCATCAGCTAGGGACTTCAGTGGGAGTTGCTTGTTCTCAGTGCTATTAAAAATTAGGCTGTTGTTTTAGGAGCTTAAATGCATACCTAGCACCTTGACTTTAAGCTATTGTTTTTAAAAATCACAGATGCACACATACCCCGTCTACAAAGCAAAAAGATGATCATATAAAATAGTGATAATGTTTTTCTGGCAGCCTGAAAATAATAACAATTAACCTAGTTCATTGTCATTATGGCTTTGGCACCTGGTTCAGTGCATACATTAAAGTGATGAACCTCTGCAACAAGAAGCATTATCCCAGACTTAATAGCCTTCAGACATCAGGGAGAAATGCACATAATAATTTTGTGTAATTCTTGTTATTCTGATTTATCTGTTTCATGAAACATAACTCTTGTCATTTATTTAATCAACTTCCAAAGTATTAAACAGAAAGTTTTAGCTCCTTGTCCGTAAAACAAGTAAGGAGATAGTTATTAAAGACTGAACAGGAATTATACTGACTCCAACCAGTAACCCAACACCATCTCTAGCAGTGGCCAACACCTACTGTTTTATAAAAGATGCAGCCGTACCTCAGGCAGTTATGAGATAACTTGACCCCGTTTCTTCCAGTGCCCATTGGTTACAAACTGATTAATGCCCTAGAGTATGAGGATATGTTTTTTAAAAAATCATTACTAATATAATGATGTTGATGTTTTCCTTATAATTAATTCCACAGTGACTCAAGAGTTCAAATTCAATAACGACACTAAAAGGAGGGTGGGAGTGGGGCACTATATTATTTTGCTACTTGCTGTGATTCTGTATTCCCTGAGAATCAAAGTCAGGCTGGGATAAGTGGGCACAACTTATTACTACAGGTCCCAAACTATAGCGGGACTTCACCTTGGTCCTTAGAATGCTGGGGTGGGATTAGCTGATGCCCTTGTATGCATCTGCATAAGAAGTTTTTTTTTAAATCATGCTTTTGTTAATAACTTCTTTTGTTCTCCATCTATAAGTTTCCTTCACTCTGTACACCTTCCACATTCAAGCTGGTACAAGCAGCTGTGGTTTGCCCCTTAAAATAGGCATGTGGCTCACTCCACTGTTTATATAACTGTTGAGACTGGCCCAGTGGCAACGCATAGCCAGTGGCGATGCATAAAAGGTACACAGGGGTGAACGTGCAGCCCCTGAGAGTCAGTGCACCCCCTGTCAGACCACACTCCTCGCTCAGGTGACAGGCAGGGGAGACAGACGAAGCGCCGGTGCCTCCTCTGCGAGAGCCGGCCAGGGAGTGCGAGCGCCAGGTGTAGACTGTCTGTAGCTGTGGCCACTTTCAGGAGCAGCGTGGCTGCTCACCAGTCAGCAAGTTTTGCCACAAGGGATCCTCCCCCTGGTTAGTGTGATAAACCGTGCGAGGACCCCACTCCGGTAGCTGACTGGTCACTGGGGGGAGAGAGCACGTGACTAAGACGGCACCAGTCACCCATGCTTTAAGCCGCTGTCCTTCCTTCCTCCAGGCCACACTTGACTCAAGTAGCACATGAATTTTAAACTCACAGAACCCCATATGCATAAATGGCACTAAGATTGATTGCAAACAGAAAGAATATACTGGCATAAAGAAGCCTGAAACAGCAAAATAAAGAAAGACAATGTCCAATATGATTTACATTTTTTTACTTAGAACTTCATGATAGAATTACACTCTCAGTAGCCATAAGACGATACAATTAATTAAGATTTGAGTGAGGTATAGCAAAATCATGAATTACTGAATGTCAGCACTGTATTATGGAAGACTAAAAATAACATAACAGCAAATTGTTTCTGGGCTGGAAAGTTCTGATCCTATAAGGAAACACTGTCAAGCTCCTAGAGTTCAGAAAAAAAAATGCCCAGCTGGGTAACCAAGGTGCTCTGAAGAATGCTAATTTTCCTTAAAGTTCTGAGAATTAGGGGTATAGAAGAGAAAAACCTCTTGCTCTAAATCTGATCAAACCACGAGGGTGCTTAAATATATGAAACAGAATCTGGAGGCTGAGCGACATCAGCATCGGCTCTTTGAGGGAAACCGACTAGTGACTTGTCATTTGGAAGCCCAACTTTATTCCTCAGGGGTGTGGTTGTGGCATCTTTGGGTGTGGTTCTTCCCTTGAAGCTAATTTGCACAGGAGTGAAAATGTATTCTGCTTTGCATCATTAGTTTATGATTTCACTGCTTATTCTCATTGCCCCTAGAAACAACCGATACCTAATGAGGCAGAGACATAATGATTCCTGAAGGCAGAAAGAAATGCCTGTAGCTAGGAATGGAAGAGGAAACCCATTGTAGGACAAAACCTGACTGATCCTGATGACATTTTTACAGCTGATTGATAAGGAGATGAAAAGAGACTATAAGCAACCCCTTGTTACTCCTTACAGAGTTCACCCTGCCTGACCTACACGTAAAGTGATAACAGCTTATCCCTGAAATAATTCTACATCCTAAAGAGTTTTTTTAAAACAGCAACAGCGAGAGGCATTGAATATGTAGGACTTAGTCATTAATATTAGCTTTATACCTCAGGATGTGATCCACTGCTTGGAAGGACTCCACAAAACTTGAAGTTGCAGCATCTACTTGATGACATCCTACTTGAAAGAAGCACAAGAGTGAATAAAAGGAATGATAATTTCTTAATGTTTGTTAAAATTTGATCTGAGATGCACGTAATAGTAATAAAAGTCAAAAGATTTCCCAGAAGGCTGGAACCTACAAGGACTAGTAGAGTCATAGAATGATCAAATTGCTCAGCTGATATTTCCAGACATCAGAACTCTGACAAATGATTCAGTAAATCCAGTTTATTTAGTAATGGGTATGCATAAATGTGGATTTTATATGCTTTAAAAGGGGAAGGGGAATTACTGCTCAGGAGCATGCATCAGCTGTTATGCTGTTACTATTATGATGTTACTGCATGATCCTGTAGTACAAGTTAACTTAATCACTCAGCTTTCCTCATGAATGAAGAAGGGTTAAAGTTGGAGCATTTTTGCTCGCTTATGTCATTACAGAATGGTGCAGATGTAACAGTTGCTTGTATTGGTATTCTTTGATATTGCTGCAATGCTTTGTCTGTCTATATTCTTAGTGAAGGGCTCAAAAGGCACTAATCAATCATAAGATATCACTCAAGCATATACTGGAATACAGAGGGATCCACTTCTCCAACTGTCAGGCTGGTTTGCAGAGTCTGGATTGTTGCTTTGTTTCCAAAATGTTGCCTCCAAAGGACAAATGCAGCCACAATCTGTGACTGAATATTGTGAGGGTGATTGACTTTACATCGGTATATGTCGTTTTGGGACAAACCCAAAGACAGTACAATGTGTTCCCACTCAGGTCCCAGTTTCCTTGCGAGTTTGTTAATTTGCTGATCTGTTGGTGAGCTCTTCAAAATATGTGGTGGAATTCCCAGTATCCTGCCACCTGGAAAAAAGAAAAAAAATGTACACGTCTCTAGATAGCAGTTTGGGCAAAAAGTTGCAAAACTAACGCAACCTAAAACAACAAAAGAATAAGGAGAATAAATGGTTAAAGACTGAATTAATTTAGGAAACAAAATACATCTAGAACCCAAAGGATTAATTACATAAAAACTAGGGATCAATGAACCTATGTGATTTTGGATAACAGTAACTTAGACACTGGGATTCTACTCAGAGGCTTAGATTTTCAGATGGAGAGGTCAAATTGCAAAAATTAGATTCCTATCAAGCATCTATGTTAGACACCCAAAATGATGAGTCACCTTTGAAAATTTGGGCCAGAGATTGTTGTATAGGTATTATTAAGGCATGAGAGGACAATGATAACCATCCAGTCTACCAAGAAGTTCACTAATGATCCCTGCATCAAAGCCATAACTTCTGGAGAAAGCATCTTTTAGAAAAAATCACCAATATTTAAATGCAAAAACTTCTAGTGATGGTGAATCTGCTATATCCTTAGGGAACCTGTTCCAGTAGTTAATCACTCACTGTTAAAAATATGTACCTTGTTTCTAATGTAAATTTGTGCAGTTACAGCCCCCAGTTTTGGACCTTACCTTATGCATTTGCCTGCTAAATTAGAGATCCCACTAATATCAGAATTGTGTGCCCCTTGGAAATACTTATGGAGTGTGATTGTCACCCTTGCAATTGTGTGACAGGCTGAAGTGGTGATTCTTGGCCACTATGGGTAAGTGGTTGCCTATGGACTGAGAGGATTAGACTCGATGGCCCAGGAGGCCCCTTCCAGTTCTTATGCTCCCATATTTAACTCTCTCTTTGTTAAGGTAAGTAAGCTGAGCATCTTTTGTTGCTCATATTAAACCATTTTCTAAACTTCAAATCCCAGTTCAATCATCAACATCCTTTTTGAAAGGCAGATGTGACAAGCATCATCATATTTCAGTGGTGATCTCACTAATGTGTAGGGACCTACTTAATTCGTGGTTTTGTGGATTTAGCGGAAACTGCGAAATCCAGGAGTGTCCACAAAATCTATGAAATCAACAAAAAAACCCACCCTTAATAAAAATAAAATACTGGCTCCCCAGTGGGAGCCAGAGATCCTTGCTGCCGGGAGGGGCAGATTTTGGCTGCCAGGGCAGCAGACAAAGGCTGCCCCCTCATCTCTCCTCCCCCTGGGCCTCTCCACCAATCAGTGCTGAGGGGTGGGGCTGCTGCAAAATGCCCACAAAATCAGCTCTGCACATGGTGAGTGGGCCCTGAAAAACCCTTTGTCTCACCACAATTTTGGTAGGTCCCTTTCAATGTGATACACAGTGGTAGTTACACCCTTTTGTTCTATCCTGTCTTCCCGTTTATATACCACATGAGCTTCCTTAGCCACCAACATGCACTTTGAGATCCTATTCAGTTGGCTGTTCAGGACTGACTCCTGGGTCCTTTCATGACTTGCTGCTTTCCAAAATATAATCCCCTTATCCTATAAGGTCTGCTTTTCTAGCAGTTAGATGTACTGAAACAGGGCTCATGGGAGCCCAGCTTCACATAAGATCAAGACTGCTCTGTAGGACACACCTGTCCTTATTGTTATTTTACACTCAATTTTGCGCCATCTGCAAACTTAACCAAAAATAATTTTACAATGTCTTCCCTATCAGTGACAAAGATATCCAATAGCACTGGGGCAAAAAAGATCCAAGTTGTAGTCCACAAAAAATGCCCCCACTGGATAATTCCTCATTTGCAATTATTGTTTTAGATTGATCAGTTTGCCAGTTTTTATATCAAATTTCACCATACTACCCCTTTCCCTATCTCAGCCAGGCAAAATCTCATTCTTCACTCCCTACCGCACTAAACTGGCTTTTCCTAATGCATAATCTCCTTTCCAATATAAATTATTTCTTCTAATCCCTCTTATCACCTATTGTGGTCCCCACGAAATCAGACATCTACATGACTCAGGTATTCATCAGCTTCTCTCAAATCTCTGCCAAGATACGGGAAGAAAACAGCACTGTCATAACCTTCAAAATTTTGTCTACGATCCACACTGCTACCCCAAATCCTGAACTACCACAGAACATACTGTTCACTTCTGTGTATTCCAGTGTACTTCAAAGATTTTAGTACTAGAAGGCCCCTCTATGTGCAGGCAAAGGTGCAATGGGATCTAATATACAATCCATAGAATCACACCTCCTGCCATGCCACACATGCATGGCAGGAGGCATGACTGTGGGATCATTCATTACATCCCATTGTGCCTTATCACTGTTGCAGGGGGAGCTTGGGATTATAATCTTGGGCTCCTCTTGCACCAGCTCCCATGGCTGTGAGCCCTGAAGTGGATGGGGCTCGCAGTGGTGGCAGCCTTCCTGGTTCTGTCCCTGCTGCGAGCCTCACAGTTGACATTGGCTGTGTGGCTCACTGTGGGGGCAGTGCTGGAAATGCTGCCACTGCTGCGAGCCTCATGAGCTGTGGGGCTCGCAGTGGGGGCAGCTAGCTGCAGGGCTCACAGTGGAGAGTGCTCTGCTGCCGCCATGAGCCACAAGCGTGGGGCTTGCAGTAGAGCGCCCACTGTCCCCACTGTGAACCCCATAGCTGATGAGGCTCTCAATAGTGGCAGCGTTCCCGGTGCTGCCCCCACTAAGAGCCCCGCATCTCATGAGGCTTGTGGGAGGGGTGGGGGGCAATGTTCTCCCCACAGCAAGTATCACATCTGACAAGGCTCACAGCAGGGGCAGCATGGGGAATAGTGCCCTGACTACGAGCCTGTGAGGCTGGCAGCAGGTGGTACAGCTTGGTGGCTGGGAGCCTCTCAATTGATGGGCCTTCTGGCCATAGGGGAGCATTTGGCCACACATTCAATTAATGGCCCGAGTAGAACACGCTACAAAGTTATTACACATTTTTGGTGGAATACCTTTGTAGCCGATTGCTTGTTTTATCAGGCCATTAATTGGTGAACGTGTGGCTGGGTCAAACCTTAAGGAGTGATTACCTGGTTAACGCCTAAAGTAGAATGTGAACAGGGGTCCAGAGTCACAGACTACAGTACCAAAACAACTATCATCCATACAGCTATTAGTGAAAGCATATCGACTGCACTATTTAAAAGTGTAAAAAAAATGGTATGGGAATTAAATGTGGGGTCCCCATACAATCTTGATTCTAATCTGGTAGTTTCAAATAAAGTGAAAGGTTGGGGATACTTGAGATCTCAATGTACTCTTCAGAAGTACATTCAGTCTTTTGCTTATAAAGTCACAGTCCAAATGAGATATTTTTAAAATATTGTAATTAAAAAGAAAGTATCAGATAACTCTGAATTGTATCACCCTTAGATACCAGCAGTCTCTGGTGATCACACTAGGATAATAAGGGCCAGAGTATTTTTGCAATCCATCTGCCACTTTTGTTGCCTCAAATACTGCATAAAAATGAAAGATAAATACCTTCAAGACAGCACTAATTATAACTTGCTGATCTCAGCAAGCACATGCAGCCAGCTCCCCACAGAAGAGCCTCTTTGTGAAATCTAATTCTTAGTTTCAATATCATGCTCTAAGTCTTCATGAAAGCAGTACAGTAACAATGAAAAAGCGGAGTCCCCTTTGTACCTCCAGAAGTATATATATATTTTTTTTTTTGCATAAAATATCCAGATCCTGCAGACGTTTGGGCCATTCAAAGCTGATTATAGATGCACGCTATAAAAGGCTGTTTTGAATAAAGGAATGGTTGCTTTCTGAAAAGCATTTTAGACTCTTTTGATCTTTACATCACTAGATTGTTAATGGAACTCTGGGGGACTGGATGGTTCAGGGACTGATAATGGAATACAGAACTTTCTTTCCTTACATCAGCAGCGCAAACCCAGCCCAAGTCAATAGTGTCAGATCATAACTGCCAGCTGGCCATGTGAATAGTTTACGTGACACAAATATGGGCACAGTCAGGTCACAGTGGACATAAATTCACATCACATTTTCCAAAAAATGACTACTTTCTTTCTGATCCAATGACTTTCCACTGACTTTAATGGACTTTGGGTCATGTTATTTGTTGCCAATCCAGGATTTGAAATTCTCTTGCGTGTTGAGATGGTCCTTCCAAAACAGGACCAGGACAGTATTGGAAGGACTGCTTACAGTGATGCTCCCAGTTCTGCAGGTTAAATGCAGGACTTCTGTCTCTAGGTCTGTTAATCAGAACACTCCGTGAACACAAATATTTAAGTAAACCTAAAATTCAAAAAACAAAATATAAACACAACACAAAGTAAATGTGATCCTACTGTACTCTAGCCAATAATAGATTTTGGTAAGAGAAAAATGGATTTTTTTTTATTATGGGTAGCTATTAAATGTAAAACATTGCTCCCCGAAGTAATATTATCTGCAAGCCTCCTGTGATCTTTGCTGTCATACCAAGATGTTTACATTTTTTGCTCGCTAGCAGTGAGACAATTTTAGGCTGCTGACATTGAAATGTGATCAAGCAGGGAGGCTTGACAATAATACATGTTAGCCTGCCCTTCCAGTCTTTTATATTAGACAGGTTTTACTACAAAAAGTATTTTGCCCTCAGCATGTTATCAGCTCTTTAATAATAAGAATAAAAATAAAAACCTATCCAGGAAACCTTCTCATCTGGCACTGGCATCTTAATCTAATACGGGTGTTCAGAGTTCTGGGATGTTTGCCAGACAGTAAATGTAATACAAGGCATTGTTATTTTAGTCCTATTCTATATTCTGTGCTTACCCATTTTCAAATATGGGAATAAATACTTGCCAAGATATTTGAAAGAAATGCTTAATAATTTCATGAGGAATATTATTTAGGCATATTTAGAAATATTGTTTTATTTTTTATTTAGAAATATGGAGATAGCTCATTCTAGATAACACAAAAAGCAAAATTACATAAAAGCTTGTTAAGGCTTATTATTATTATTTTCAAAAGAAGG